CCAGACCCGCGCCACAGCTCCCCCGCCCTCCTCCTCCCCCCTGGGGCCAGGGGCCGCGTGGGAAGCTGCGCGTTTCACGCTCCGCGGGGAAATGGGGGGATGGGCCTCCAGGCTTAGCAAGGCTGCTCCAGCAGCCTTACTAGCCTGAGGACGGGGGGGGGGGATTTTACTGGCGGAGCACAGGTTTGCGCTCCGCCAGGAAAGGGGGGATGGGGCCTGAAGAAGGGTAAGGGGGGATGGGGCCTGAAGAAGGCCGACCTGAAGAAGGCGGCGGGGCTTCACCATGTGACCGCCCCTCCCGGAGCGTCTCTCCCGGAGCGACGTACAGGGGAGCTCCGGCCGGATGAGACCCCTGCTCATGATATTTATTATTATATACCACAGACAGAAATTTACAACCTTGTTCATCTTCACAACCAGCCTGTGAACGAGAGATTATGCTTCCCATTTTACAAGTGAAAAACTGGGGTTGAGAGACAGCTGTTCATGCAAGATTTCCCACTGAGCAGCTGGTGAACTTGAACCTACAGAGACTCCAACCAGCCCAGTATAATACTACACCTAGAATTATGGTCCAGTTTCATTAAACGGCTCAAGAGGCAGCTTTTCTCACAATTTTTAATTGGGTAAATTTTGAAAAGGGCAACGCAGACTATCTTACCTCTTTCCGTTTTGCAACAGAACATGAACTTTACTCCTATCCACAGACAGAAGCTTAGGATCCACTAAAGCATTCAGCGTCTCAAGAATCTGCGGCTGCAGGCTGCTAAGTCTCTCGTGTAGACTGTTGATCTAGGTAACAACAGGATCCTTCATAAGAATTAAAACAATCATAAGAATTAAAACTGATGTCAAACCAGAGAGTCTCTGCAGTAGAAACTGAAGGGGGGGGGCTTTTTGCAGAACCAGTACTACTATGGCAATGTTAGCTCAACAAATCTAAGCTGGGGGGGGGGGTGTTGGCAAGCCTAGAACAGCCAGGGCATGCACAGTGTACCCAGCAGAATCAATGCATATACAGAGAGCCCAGAAGAACCACTGCATGTATAAAGTGCCCAAAAGAACCAATGTGATTGTGGCAATGCCAGCACAACAAATGGGGTTTTTTTTGCAAGCCTTGCACAGCCAGTGTATGTACAGAGTGCCCAGAGGAACTAATGCCAGCTCAACAAATCCAAGCAAGGTGAGGGTTTCCAAGCCCAGCAAAGCCAGTGCATATACAGAGTACCAGTGTAATGTACTAGTGCCCAGCAAAACCTAGTGCCTTCCCTTAAATGCTTTATTTTTTCCTCCATAGGAAAAACAACAACAATGGGGGAACCTTCTTTGGGCACTCTGTACATTTACTGGTTCTGCTGGGTACTCTGTACATGCAGTGGTTCTGCTGGGCACTCTGTATATGTGCTGGCCATGTTTGGTTTGGAAACAAATCCAAAAAATCTCTCTTTTTTTGTACACACCCCTACTTGCATTGCCCCAAAGAGTGGACGGTCCAGGACATGTTCAAGATTCCCACAGATGACCTATATTCCTTTTCCTAGATAAGTAAGGACTGGGATATGAAATTAACAGTATTCATGAATTGATTATATGACCGAATAATTCAACTGCATTTTGATTGTCTTCATAAATAAAGTTCTTGCTTTCTACCTAAGCCTGAATTCTATTCCTATGCCTTTTCCTCAGCCCAGTGATCACAACAACTTATTCTTGATACAACAGGAGCATGCTCACCCAGTACTGAAGTACTGCTTCGATTGCTCTGAATTCAAAAGGTAAAGAATATGTTACTAGCTGGCCTTCCCCAGCCAACTGAGAAGCCAGTTCTTGTAGTAACCATTTTTCCATGTTTACATTGCGATAGTCTAAGATTAGAAGAAATTCTGGAGTTATCACTGCCTTCAAAAACTGAAAGAGATGGGGAGAATAAGGTTAGCCAATGGATACACATTGTGGATGCTATGTTCACATTGCTATTAAAGGACAAGGGAGGGGAACAGGGGCATGACAGGGGAAGGGAAATTATCTCTTCAGTAACAAATAAGGTAGAATCTGAGAAGGGCAATAATCAGAAATGGCCCCCTGAAAACAATTCTGACCTACCTTCACAGACAGAATGACATATTACATCCACAAGCAAGAATCAGGTCAAAATTTTATAATGGAATGTGGCAGGATGGGATGATTAAGAATGAGAAGGGATGTATAATTGAGTGTCTTTGGAGTTCAGATTTAATATTACTGCAAGAGACCTGGTGGACTTCTGAATTCTTTCTTCCAGGTTATACAGCCTATTTTCATTAGGAGATTAGAGTTAACACGAAGGGTCACCCTTCAGTGGGTTTGGCCACTCTGATCTCTTGTCATTACAGGTCAATGAAATACCCTCTAAAACCCACTTATTTTTATTTCTCCAAAGGAAATGCCAGAAGAAGCAAACAGTTTTAGTGAGTCTGTATCTTCCCCCAGTAGCAAGGGATACCTTAAATGGGAATTGGCAGGAACTGGACATCCTATTACAGCAATTAGTTCAACACTTTAGTGACGACTGGACTGGAAGCTCTACTGAAGATTATTTCAATCACAAAAGATGGGAATCCCCCTGGAATTCTGGAAAACCCTTTTTGGTGTGCAGTTCTTTAGATGGGTAATTAATAAAGCTGCTGACGGAGTGCAGTAGCGCCCAGCCAGGAGAGCAAGTGGCCCGGCTGAGTCAGCAAGGCACAGACGGCAGGGCAGCCGGGGACTATCACTGGGACCGGCACGGGTGGTCAAGATCAGCACAGCCCAAAAAGGCAGCTGAGCTCTCCTGCTAGAGGAGGGAGCCAAGGCGCTGGGGCGGGGGGAGGTGAGGGGAAGGAGAAGGGATTAAGAATTGGGGGCAGGCAGCCCCAGGAGAAATGCCCAGCCCTAGAACCCCTGAAGAGGCGTGGCTGCCAGGGCAGCAGGGGCTAGGGATGCCAATCTCCAAGACAAGACAAGAAACAGCCTGGCTGGAAGGCATGCAGACACCTGGGGGTGGCAGTGCTTTTGGCACACTGTACCTGGAGAGTGATGAGGCCACAGAGGATCCCCAGGGGACCTGGCCACCAAACAATTGTCAGATAATTGGTCAGAGGCCATGGGCAACAGTCACGCAGCCCTTAAGAACACTTGAGGCTTTCTGACAAAATAAAAACTAAATCCCTCAACAAATAAACAATGTCATCTTGTGGCACATGTCATCTGTTTGTAGAGTGCTCCCACTTCAGAGAAAAGCAAGTGCTGCTTAATTTTATTCAGACCATGTTCCTATATGGGTATTGCTTCTGCACCAGAAAAAGAACAGCTGCACGCTTACCTCCATTCTCATGATAATCCTGTTGTTCCTGGGTGATATGCTCACTTGATGCTGAAACCGTAGATCTCGTGCTTGAAGACCTAGCTCCTGGTACAATTCTGTTCTCTTTCTTTCTGCCAACGTTTAGAAATTATGTGAGATGAGACCACACACATCAAACCAACACGATGAACAAGTAAGCTGCAATTGGGCCCGTAGTTATGGTGGGGCCTCCCGGGGCCTGGCCCCATGACTCCCTTCCGTGACGGGGTTAGCAGTTGCTGTTCCCGTCTCCGGCCAAGCCAAGCGGCAACTGTTGGGAGGGGCAGGGGCGGTGACTGAAGGAGACAGCAGCTGCGTTGAAACCCCCCACCCACCCGTTGGAGAACGAGGTCAGGCGCACTGAGGTGGCAGGGTGGCTCCGGCTGCCTAATTAAACCAGCCAGGCGAGGCATCAGAAGGTCAGGCAGCCTCACCCAGCCCGCACTGCCTTGGAAATCAGTCCCAGACGCTGCAGCGGACTTGCCAGCCAGCTCGTTCACCACATCTGCTTGGATGTCGCCCCCGCCTGCAGCACTCCAGACGACTTTTGCAGCACTACTCATTGCATGGTGCAATTTGCCCCTCTGGCCCACTCTGCTCAGTTTCCTCTGGGTTGCGGGAGAGCCTTGTCCCGTTGGCCCAATGCCTGGCAGGCAAGGAGGCGAGGCAGGTTGCCAGCGCACCTGTTCCGGCCATGACTAGCTTGCCCTTCACATGGGACGTGGACCTCGGGAGCCCCCTTGCACCATCCAGACAAACAATGGGTTACGTTTGGAGGCGCAGCCGATGCAGATTGGCCGCAAACGCGCCATCGGGAGAGTTTCTGGGGGCAGCTGATTGATGCTGTGCCGCCAGTGCTGCTGCAGCCGCCCCGGAAACCCGTCTGCCTGTTGTTCCCCCACCACCCAAATCCCAGCCTTCATTTATTCCATGGTGGCTCGCTGATGAGATCGCCTCCAGGCCTGGTAAGCTGAGTGGTTTTGCTTCCAGCTCGCCAAGGGAGAAGCAGACTGAAGGCCTTGACTGGCCGGCTGCAAAAAACAAAACCCAGCCTGACCAGGGGCTGCAAAGGTTGCCTGCTTGCTGCCAACTTGTCTCCGCCCCGCCAACCCCCCCCCGCATGTCCCATTCAAGGCAACAGTCAGGCAGGAAACCAGGCAGGCAGTGACCCGCGGCCAGGACTGGAGAGGGTGGCAACCTCCTGTGGGAGAACCCCCGGTGTGTAGGGGGGGTTGATTGGTGTCCTGAGGGGGGGGTTGATTGGTGTCCTGAGGGGGGGGTTGATTTCCCATTCAAGGCAACAGTCAGGCAGGAAACCAGGCAGGCAGTGACCCGCGGCCAGGACTGGAGAGGGTGGCAACCTCCTGTGGGAGAACCCCCGGTGTGTAGGGGGGGTTGATTGGTGTCCTGAGGGGGGGGTTGATTGGTGTCCTGAGGGGGGGGTTGATTG